ACACCGCCCTCGTTAGCATAAGTTATTCCGTCGGTGACAAGCAGAGCGTGACGACTATTGCTACGTGATGGGACACGATTTGGGCCTGTTTGCGGAGTGTCAGCCCACGTCCAGGGATTCTCTTCCAGAGTAAATTTCGAGCTGTCAGCCAGCGGCCAGGCGGCCTTTGCAGAAGCGTATCGCTAGCTGTCTGCTGAAGGCGAGGGATTTTCTGCGCGAGCATATCCCGAGCTGGCTGTGCCTCCAGGACTCCTTTGTCCGAGCAAACCCGAGCTGTCCGCCACCACGCAGGCCTTCTCGGCCGCAGCGCAGATCACGAGCAAGCGTTCGGGTATTCCTGGTCTGGGCGAGCCTCGAGAGCTGTCCGACGGCTTTCTTGGATCCTTGCCCAAGTTAATTCCGAGATGTCTGTCCGTATCCAGGGATCTTCTGCTGTGAGGTGCTCCGAGCTGTCTGCCGATTCTGGATCCCGGGATCCTCTGTCGGAGAAGTTCTCGCCGTCGTCACAGCCAGCCGTGCGAGAACATGGCCGCGGAATCAGATGCCAGATCGGATATCGAGACCGCGGAGCTGACACCCCCGCGAAGTGCCACGTGCTGTTTTCGCCACCGTTGTGGGCGCAGGCAGTTCGCTTTGTCATGTCGGACTTGTTCGGGCTTTTCATCGCTGTCGATGTGGCTTTAATTCGTCATTTGCGTACGGATTAGAGCCGAGAGTTGCCGATAGTGTATGCGGCAATTTGGATGCGCAGGAAGTTCTTTAGTGTCGTTAGGACATGCTCCCTTATTTAAACACCGACGCGCATTCTTCATTCACGGAAGAGTGACACTTCAAAGCTCCGCGGGTCTCCTAAATCGCTGGATTAAGCGCGATTTGAAACAGGACGGGCAATTAGGTTCCCCAAAGCCGGGCAATTCGGCTTCCGCGATGGTTAACATATTCCCCGCTGTGTTTAATTTTGAATTATTCATTTCCACCTCGCAATGTGGGGAAGGCGGCAGAGTGCGTAGATACAGCGAGACACATCGCTGGATTAATGTAAGAGCTAGCAGGACGTTTTGCGGCATATTACGAGCAAGTCAGTCGAATTACGAAAGGGATGTTTGGCGTATATAATCACAAAGGCCAGGAGCATCGCAGCCCCATGACCGACAGACGCCGGAGACCGCTTCAGATAGTCCTCTAGCAGTTGAGGTTGGAATTCGGGCTTCGCGGCTTGATGTCGCGAATCACTTGACAGCTAATCCTGCGCAATTGAAAACAGACTTAGTGAACGATCTCACACTTGTAGCGTGTGTGAATTTTCAAGGAGGATGTTTGGCGGAGGATGTCTGTTTCGGATCACTTGCAGCCCGATGATGTGCAAACGCATTTTTATTTTGCTCAATGCGGTTGCGTTGCGTTGCATGTCACGTGTGCCTCGACTATCGGTGCTATTGATAATTACGAGTGAGATAGCGGCGATGCTCGGTATGTCAACGTAGTCGCTGTGAGAAGACGCCGCGACAATAATAAAGCAACATAGAATGAACCCTTTATGAGCTAAAGCCTGGTGGAATGCAGTGCTGGGTATGCAGCTATTAGGATCGGCGTTGTTGACTTTCTTGCTGTTTAAAAATTGAAACAAAGTTTGTGCTAACGGTGAATCAGTAATGTTACGTGCGATTGAAACCGAGATATTTCATTTTTAAGGATTTGGTCCGAATCTGTTGAGTGGATGGATTTCTGGGATCACAGCCCACGCTAAGCATTGCTTGTTGCTTGAGCTCTGGTTCCATGATCCGGTCGTTAAATTCCAGGTCTACGGCAGAATTTAATAGCGAAAGTTGAGTGTACCCGCAGTGCTCGGCAAGGTCTGTCATGCCCTCTGACGTCACCAGACCTTTAACGTGGCCGCTGCCACCGGTTGCAGGTCATCGCAGTCAAGTAAAAATAACGAGCGTCTAAAGCGACTCGAACCCAACCCGCCACGGATTAGTGGAAGGAAAGGCAGGCGGTCTCATCCATCCATCCAACTCATCCATAGGGACGGACGGAAATGTTGCAAGTTATCTCATGATCGTTTTGTTATTACCGTATTACCATATTCGATTTCAAGCTATCTTACTGTAGTGTTTCGGTTAGCGTTTAGTGCCCTGCAATTTATAATACCTTGCTGCGACGTTTCGGAGAGGCCTCTTGTTCGGTAAAATTTCGCGGCTGATTACTAGACTTGACGAAATTGTGACTTCATTAAATGGAACAACTAGGCAAACGGTAGAAATGATGAGCCGAGCCCTTATTGTATCGTCGACGGTACCCTGATATCTCAATGAACCTTCATCAGGTGCGATTTGCATGCAGTTGTCGCATAAGCATTTGAGGCATATTAACGGCTGACCATCTAGGCAAAATCACGGAAGAAATTATCCAGCGCAGAGAGCGTGGTCACAAAGCACACGGTGAGCGTCCTTCACACCTTCATTGTCGCATTTCGACTTAATCAGTCGGCAAATACAAAATGCATGCCCAAGATTGCCCGTCATTGATATCGTCTTTTCAGTACATACCATGGTACTGCGGAGACAGAGCACATGCACATTATGTCAAACGTTTATTTAGACAGAGCAGTGCTTGCCTCAGTCTAAATATCATCGCAGGACACACTGGGGTCGGAGTCTGAACATGGACAGCACAGACATTGGTCTATGACGATCGCGCGAGCGACTCGTGTGTTTTTTTTTGCCCGGTTACATTGCAAGAAAATACGTGTGCACAGGATTCATCGAAACATATATTCTATTGGACTACACTTGAGGGAACGTGAATTAACTTGGCTAAAAATGTTTGTCAGGTCGTTAACACACAGACATACAAACATTGCATGCGCAGCAACTGATTAATAACCATGCATACATTCGCTGACAAAGCAGGCGATAACAACGGCATGATCCAAAAGTTTGCCTTTGCAGCGAGAGGCACAATACAAAATGCTGTTCAATATATCAAAAGTTTTTAAATTCTGTTTAAGGGACATTCCACTGAATTATTTTTTGAACAAATCAATTAAAGCTAGGAACGAATTGACAATGATTTACCGAAACAGAATTACCATGTGTATTGATATTGTGAACTAGTCCATCAATTCATAAACAGCCTCTGAAACAATCTTACTGTGAGCACACTTGGAGGTTTATCAGAACTATTACGACAAGATCAGTACGGGAAGTTCTTTGACAAATGCGGCACGTTCCGGTTACTGAATCAAAATTTATCGGTTCCATGTTGTACTCATGGGCCGCCACCAAGCAGCACGGCCATAGTGAATGTCACCGTCGCAGGTCAAAACACGGCAGCACGTTATAGCAAGAAACTCAACATGAAGTTACGAAAGCTAGTCCGACCGTATAAGTACCAATCATTTACTTAGCTTATTTTGATGCTTGACTGGCCGGGTTTTAATGGCGGGTTTACTGTTCTATTCGTGTGTTATACCCTAGCATTATCAATAAAAGGCGTGACATTGTGTAACTCGAGCCTTTTCCGTGATGCCTGGGGGGCTATTCAAGAAGTGCTGAATAACAACACCTAGATGATGACATACATGGTGAAGATAATACCTAGCTTGCACCATAAAATTAAAGCACGCATTGAGAGTGGTTACACATAGGCAATACACGTCACCATTTACGATAGTAGTGTAGTCTTCAGAATCAGCATTTACGACGTAGTCTTTAACATGAAATGTTAAATGACGTAATGATTCATTAGCGCAATGAAATCCTGACGGATAAAGTTGCCGCAAGCGTCGAGTCTTGGTCCTGAATTTTTGCACTGCTAAGAAGAGTTACACTCCATTTCACTCGCTAATTGAATGACTTGATAAATGGTTAAGTTATTATCTATATCGTGGCAAAAACTTTTAAAGCGTACGCAATCTGTAGTCTGTAACAAACAAAACATCAAGGAAACTTGCTGCGCTTAAAAACCCACACATTGTTGCTGTAACGCAGTGGTATCCGCACCTAGACTACATACTTTGATTTCGTCTTGCCAGGTCTGCTGGCCTCCTTTCTCCAGATGATGCGTGCAACGAACCTAGGTATAAATATGGAGTGGATCAATTGACCGCGTCTTGCCTTTTGGCTCTTTTTCAAATTCATGCCTGCTATTGTCATGCCGCCGAATTCAGGACGTGCTTTCTGAGATATATTTGTAACATTTTGTTCTCTGATTGCCTTCGACAGCTTGAGAAGACAGCAAGGGGCACCCGGACGAATGCGTTCGAATATGCAGCAGCCTCCAGCGCGAGCTGTGTTTGTGAGACTGTTGTCAGCTATGGCTTGTGCGACGCTGGAAGCATTGCCGCACATAAAACCAAACCTTTAATCATGCCTCAGGCAATTCTCACTAATCGTGAGAAACAGACATGCTTCACGTCATGGTAATCATTACAGGTTGTGTACAGAGCTACGATAGCAAGGTTAAGTTGTTGGGAGATCGAAAACAAATATTTGCTATGCGCTCCTTCGCTCTGTGAATCGCTTAGGACGCGTGCCATGTTGTGAACCAATCCATAATTAGTAATCGTAAACACAAAACATGTGACACACATTTCACTTACTTTTCACTTTTAACTCACTTTAAGACCGTACTTCGGCACTTTCCACACGCACACGCACTGCTTGGACAACTGAAGTGCCAGAGCCTGTTTGAAGTCCCGGTACCTTATCACCGAGTACGTGTCACATTACAACTTGTCCCACGTGAGCCTGTCACGGGGATGGACTGTGCCCACGGGGTCGGACGGTGCACCGGGGTCAGACCGTGCACCGGCGTCGGACTTTGCCCACATGCGCCGCAGTGTGGCCGCCCCTCGGTGCAATTCGCCTTCCCCTTGCTACCTTCTCTCCTACTTCTCCCCCCCCCCTCCCCCACTCACACACTCAGCCAGCGACGCGTGCCGGCCCCTTGTTCTCCGAGTGTCACGATCGTCTCGCACCATCCCCCCCCCCCCTCCCCGTGCACCAGGCGGGTTTGCGCGGGCGGAATCACAGACGACGAAGTGCATAGCGGGGGCCGAAGAGCGGCCCAGACCGTGTGACTGACGGAACAGCGCACGTCAACCTGACGCGGCCAGCTCCAGCACCTGACGGGCCGACCACGCCCGCCATGGAGGGTGTGTAGGTCCCCACGCCCCGCGGCGACGGGGCCGACTCCACCACCGACGGAGAGCGCGCCGCGGCGGCAGGCCGGCTCTCATCACAGTCGGGGACGCACCGTCGGCGAGGCGGCGCTGGTCCGGCGGCCGAGACCGGCAGCGCGGGCGGCGGTCGGAGACGGCTGACCGCGCCGGCCACATCACAGTGACCGGCGCTCTTTGTCGCGGAAGCCCGCCTTCCTTGCTGCCTGCGCGCTCGCCACGTCGTCTGCGGTGCGGTGACGTCACGTGATCACGTCCCCGCCCTGGAGTCGCCTGGCGCCAGCCTGGCTGGGCGGACGCACAGCTTGGGTCGATGTCGGTCCCCGCCGACCAGAGCCGGCGATGCCCCACCGCCCGTGCCAGTGAAGTGCTCTCGCCGACTTGGACGACGGGGAGACTGGATCTCAGGTGTTGTCTTCGTCTGAGGCCAGTAACAAGGATAAAATCGGCTTTGTGATGACACGAGTCTAAACGAAACGGCATGTGCCACAGAGTTAAGGAGAGCCAGAAAAGTCCCAGCGGAGTGAAATATGGCCTCTCGGTTTGCATTTTTGCCCTTTTGAAAATAATAGGCGGTTATGCAACGTAACTTCCAGCTCATGTTTCTTAAGGTGACGCCTCAAAAGTGATTCGGGAGACGACAATTCAATCCGACCACAAAAAATTAGACAACGTTAAGGCAAGCACATGCCGCGAAGATCCCACACGAAAACTTGCTCCAGTACAACAGCCAAAAACAGGAACCGGCCAACATGTAACATGAAATACTAAACCTACTCACTACAGACAGGCAAACGAATTTAGGCACAAAAATTGACATGACAATTCTTGCGAAACAAGCGGAGATGACAACTGGTCTAAAATATTTTAGCAAACATGGTCATACGCCCCACAAACGCGACCGGAGACATGGGACAAACGTGATATGTGGCAACACCCTCGCCAGAAGCATATCACTCTGCCTGCTAAAAGGGCGACTCACCTGTGATAAGAGCGATTATGACGAAAGCAGCGCAGACAAGAGATAACACATGAGGCAAACACCGGAGCTCAGAGCCGTTGTTGTAGCTTCTGGACTCCAGGGCTGCGAAAAGCGTTTGGTGTGCAGTCAAACAAACAGCTCAACACTAATGAACTCGCGAGTCGAGCACAAAGTGAAACCGACACAGCGAAAGGCCGTCACGTCTCAAGCCAGCGATTAGAAACTGGGTCTGAACCTAGATGACGCCAACAACAATGGTGCTAGCAATATCAGCCCCTGGTTCTGCTTAGAAGTTGGTTGAAATTCTCCCGCAATATAGCTAAAACGCTTCGCAACAACAACACCATTCGCTGACAAACTGTCCGGGAGATTTCGCTGAAATACTTAAGTAACGCAATTTTGCGATGAGGAGTACCGCTACTTTCTCTGATGGACCACGATGGCACGATGGACCACGTGAGGGCGTTCATCCCACCTTCTCCCCTGGCGAGTGTGGAGAAGTGGAACATCTCGGAGACGGCGCCCCAGCCGTGTCGGTTGCGGGCCCGCACGTGCAGGTCGTAGGTGGTGGCCGGCCGCAGTTTGGTCAGCGGGATCTGCTGACGGTGCAGAGAGTCGCCGACCACCTCGCTGCCGGTGGGCGGCACCAGCACCTCCCGCCAGCTGGGCGACGTCCCGCCCGCGCTCAGGTTCTGCGAGTGGAGGTCATGTGTTTGCCCTGTCTTCGTTCTGTGGGAGACACTGCACGTTCATTGGGCGACGGTTGTTCCGTGTGTTTCATTGCGACAGCAAGCACGACACTATTGGTGAACACAGGTGGTAGAGACTTAAACGTCACCAACGGGGTTCGGGCACACCTCCCTGTAACCTTGCGCACCTGGCGGCAGCGGTGGCCTTTCTATGGCCATGAGAGGTCCAACAGAGGCGCACCTTCCTTTGTCCGCGTGGGACCGCCGGCACAGGAAAGAAGAAGGGCGCTCTCGCCAAGCACTCACCTTCCCCTGTCCGTAGGCGACCTTGTACTCCAGTACGGCAGAATAGCTGCGCACCTCCCAGGCCAGCTGGTACGAATCTGGCGCTGTACCGATCGGGCTGCTGGTCACCCGAGCACGCGCTGGTGCACCTGTGCGGATGGTCCCAGTCATGTGTTATGCGACGGCACATTGCACGTCTGGCTCCATGTTTTCTCCCCTTTTATCGGTTCCTTCTTAATAGCCCAGATGGGCTTTTGGGCCTCCTGTTGAGACGATGAACCAGCCTTGCGCACCGGCAGGCTCAAAAGGAATCCTCTGTTTGCAAGGGCACCCGAGCACTCCTCTAAAATGTGCATACGTGAAGTGATCCGCCTTAGAGTAGGCCAGTGAAAGTTGCAAAAAGGGAAACTAGTCTCATGCATGTCTGATTTTGCATGTTTCTCCTCACACTTCCACCCAGCTCTCAGAAGCTGTTAGGCTGATTGCAAAAAACAACACAAAAGCAGCAGTCTTTGGTTGTTTTCAACGGGATCTGATTGTGAATGCACAAAAGCTCAGCAATTTTGCACAGTATGGAGGAGCGTAAATCTAACATTTCAACGTCATTTCTCACGTTTATTTATCGAATTTGGCGTCTCCGGTGCCGAACAATAGACGGCGATAGGCCAAAATGTAAAATACGTGGACACATCTAGGATATAAAAAGACGGGGTACAGCGGGATTTAACGAAATGTTGGCTATAAAACACGCAAAGGTAATGAAATGGTGTCCTGCTTTGTCATCAGAAAAGCAGGTATGGGCCAAAAATGAAGCCATGGGAAGAGCCACGCGGCCTATTGGGATGCTGAAAGGGGAAGGTCGAGTGAGTAATAAATATCATTTCGTTCACAATGCTTCTAGTATATGTAAATTCACATGGTACCCGGCGCTGGTCACAAATCAAGTTGTCATTGGGAAGGTGTTGGGTCTATTGCGATGATATTTTCACCAGATTTCAGACCCTATACTTCTGGATTTGGTACGAGTTAGGAGTGCATGAGTCGCACTTGACGCTCCAAAGGAGTGATTCTTCGTCTTTCGAATAGTGTAGCGGTGAGACGACAGGTTTTAGGACATGTGTTTCACCATGAAATATGAGCAATGCAGGCATTACCGGAATAAACCACAATGACCTGGAAAATTTCGTCTCCGGTGTCAAACAAAGCTGTTCTGAGGACTGACATCAAAAGCATCAGTGTCATTCCACACCACAGTGTGATTTAAAGAGAGCGTTCCACATTTATGTGGTGTTTTGGACTGATACAGCCATTTTGAAGATCATATTTTACAGTGCATAGTTCTGTCCCCCATCAGACCTTAAACCCTTTATTTTTAGGTTTACGCCCACGAAGATGTGCAGATTTTTGTGCAGACTAAGGCCATTCAGTCATGCATGGTACCACAACAACGTCATCCAAATTCTGCCACCCCATTCGCCATACGGCGTTCAAGGCCAAGACGAATATTATCTCCGAACCATTTAATTCTGGCGCCCGTAGGCATGATTCCCAGACATAGTGAACATCAATGAGCTCTCGATCAATGCCGAGCAAGCTGTGCGTCCCTCCATCACGAATCACGTCTTGTGCTACATAATGTAAGAAGTTTGACTTAATTACCAGTTATTATGAAACTGAGGATTGCAATAGAATAAGTAAAGAACAGCGTCATAAACGCGCATGTTAACACATGGAAACAACCCAAACTCAAGGATAAATATACAAGAACACTACGAAAAAGTGTCAAAACACAAGCACATGACGATACTTGGCTCAGTGAACACATCTAGCACTGGCACTGCGATATCTCGGCTAGTTAAGCACTACAAGTGAGTGCTAGAATGGCAATTTCGCAAGGCGAGCTTGGCAGTATCTCAACGTTGAATAAATGTTCCATGATCCAATCATGCAATGACCCATTGAAGAACAATTTTTGCCAAATAGAGAAGTTGCGCTGTCTGGAGCGGTCTTTTCCACTTCAAGGTATATTAATATTTGTAACATAAATTAACTTATTTCATCACATCTGATGCTTGCTTTAATGCCTTGAAACGTGGAACATTTCCTTTAACGCTTACAGTTTCTATGTCACTTTGCATGGCTGTGTCTTTCACATTGGAATAAAAACGCGTCTTAGTGTAAAATGACGCTGACACAGAGTCCGGCGTGTGATTTTACGCTGGCGAAGCCGGATGGCGCGGGAGTGAGAAAAAAGTTGAGAAATCGGAAACCTGTATACACTCGTCGAATTACACCCATACTCTGTGCCATTTTTCATCAGTGTGGGTCACTGAGCTTAATTATTTCCGGAGCATTAGTTTGCCAGGACTTTTACCTGGAATGAGTTTGTGTGGTAGGTCATCACTGTTTTGTTCCTGCAGCAGTGCCTAGAAGGCAAACCAAAAATTGGGACGGATCGCAGAACCATGCTGCTGAACGTGCCCGAGTTCGGGAGCGCAAATCACTCGCGATCTACTTCTGCTATCTACCTCTACTGCAAACCGTGGATTTGCTGGTTTTGGCCGGTGCTTAAGTTATGTGTCAAATATTGGAAGCCTGATCAGACACCACATTGATATTGAAAACAAATTGTGGTCATTAGATGCGTCTATCAGTCGCATAAACAAGTTCCACGAGTTCCACACAATAGCTGCTCTTGCCACAGTACAACCAGTTATCGGGGGTGATGATGCTGGACAAGTCCGTCTTGAATGCACGCTCTTGGACCTACGTCGAGCGACTACACGAGGGGTACGTGTGATCGTGTGATTAAAACACTGCCGAAATGTTGTCATCAAGATGTACGATTTGTGCAGTGTTGGTTTCGTCACAACTCTATGCTTTTAATCCTAATTGTGTGCGAAAAGCAAGGCAGCTCTACGAAAAGCTTACTAGGAAGGGGTTGAAACTCAGCTTTGGTACTTTTACTTAAACTAATTATCTCTACAGAAGGACGCATGCATAGAACAACTGCCCTGGAGTTACGACGTGCGCAGTTTTCGTTGGAAGATATTCACAACCTGCCTTTCTCACCTTAAATATCAGCACTTTCGCGTTACCATAACCTAATGAAGGGCTGAATTGAATCGAACCAAAATAAAACTTGAATGAGAGTGAATAACTTGCCCAAGCTTGAGTTATTGTATAGCATCAAGTCGTGGCATGACACAACCATGTTTTGACCACACATGAGCGGATTTCATTCGTTCAGCACAGAAAATGGTAAATAACCCAACCGCCAGAATAAGACAGCCATTGAAATACTACCCATGTTATTAAAATTGCTTCGAGTTCGTGGTAAGTTAAGAAAACTCAATTACAAAAGTTGTTATTGGACTGAAAGTTTGAAACAATCTGTATATGACATTCCACAGTGCAGAGGCGAGCTGAAGCTGACTGGTTGCAGTCCTCGGCGATTTGTGATACAACACGGATTATTTCGTAGGGCTTATGTCGAAACAAACGGCGCGCAAGCAATCTCTAAGAGCTAAGCACACCAGACTAAGAATGTTCCGACGACGCACCCTGCCGCCGAAACCACTATAATGACCAGGGCTGGCCAGTTTCTGAAAGGCCAACGAAAATACTCTGTCCTCTATATCGATGGGTAAATATTGCGAGGCCCAAGCGGCTCCAAAGACTTGGTTCCGGGGAAAGACCAACAGTTTCTCACAGACGGTCTGGTCGACTTTTCCAAGTGATTATAATAGCGTCCAAGTACGAAGAACGGTGATACACAATCCGCGCGGATAATAGTAAATCTGTTGTATTGACGTTGGGTGTGGTCTTTCATTGACAGGGCATGTGTCAAGGTAGGACGTGCTTACATTATGTGAGAAGGCATTCGTGAAAACTAGTGATGAAAAGGAATCCAGTCGATCCATTTGTCGTGCTGGTGAAGAGGTATAGGTGAGAAGTGCAGACGTCTATCAAAACCATGGAGTCAACCCAAATAACAAAACAGTCCTCGGCGTGTTGCAGACAAATTTTCTTGTAGTCCATCAAACGGAGCCGTGTAAGTCACCGGGTTCATCAGTTATTAATCATTCTTGGTGCGTACAAATTTGTCATCACAAATAATAGAAGTGAAATAAATTGTAATTGCCGGGAGTGACGGTACCCTAGCACAAATTGGAATCGCCGGGAGTGACGGTACCCTAGCACAAATTGGAATCGCCGGGAGTGACGGTATCCTGGCACATATTGAATGCATAAATCTCCCTACCTGAAAGTGCCATCCGGCCGCTTGCATTGCCAAGATGGTTGAACGCCTGGCACGAGTACGTGCCAAAATCGACGGTGTGAACAGGCCGAATTGTGAGCACGTGCCTCGTTCCTACGAGCACTTCCTCTGAGGGGACATGGCGCGATGGATGAAGAGAGCCATTCTCCTTGACCCAGCGGACCTGGTGATGAAACGCCATCGTTAGCACTGGTGGCAGCATCACGAACCCTATCACCAGGACATGTGCGAAAAGTAGCGACGAACATCGGCATAATCCTACCATTTCTTTCAATGTGAGCGCATGCCAGACATTAATGTACCATTGTAGTCCACGCCTAAATGATCAACCGCTATCGTCGGCAATGCGTCGATGCGGAAGAACTACACAGAGTATGGACTCCTGGTATGGCGGAGTGGGGGCGTATTTGTCCTAAAACATGCTCCATGACAGCTGATTGACCAAAGATTGATTTCTCCGGCTAATTTTTCTCATTTGAAAATAATTCACGGCACACGTTTGCGATACAGAATCCAGCTGAAACTACTAGGCATAAATGTGATTCAGTTGTTCAATGCACGTCCGAATAAGAATTTGTATGTACATACACACCTGTATCAAACAATAGCTATTTTCATTAAGTAACAGCACTCACCTCGGCCGGTGGATCCGCGTACACAAAGCACACGAGCTGGGCCTCAAACCCCTCCCCGGCGTGAACAACGCTGTTCTCGACCTCCACTTCCGGCGAGTCTGCGACGGACATGACCTTACTAAGAACAGCATATGTCACACAGCTGGTGATCAGCGAACGGGCAGGTCAGACCAGGGGCAGACAAATTACCCGCCTGGCAGAAACATGTTCATGCGACCTTTGGTTCTTCTGTGTTCACACCAGGCACGGCGCATTAGAGGAGCATTTGGACAGCGGTCTCCCAATTCTAGCCAAATTTCTACTTGAACCCTGAGACGCTGCGTGGAAAGAACAAAGTAAGACAGAAGAGGAGGACAAAAGTGCAGTCGTCCCACTGCACACAGTTCGTCGCCACCGCGTAGCACATTTTGAGAGTTTGCGTTCAGCGGCGTTGACCAAATAAACCCCCAGCGTGTCCCCACACAAGGTGTTTATGTATATCTAAGAGGCCTACTGCAGCAGACATGACTGCTGAAGGTCTGCCCTCACACGACGGGCCTGGAGGTTGGTGGCGCATTATCACCGCACCTTGAACACTGACTGACACGATATTCCTGCATATTGGACGGCGGCTAGGCCTTACAGTGTCTCTGCATCATAGCGACGCACTTGCGGCTTGAACCCAAATGCTTACGGCTTGAGCCCAAATGCTTGCGGCTTGACGGACGGTGTGCTTTTGCATGGTACATGTTACTTACATAATGGAGACGTGTCCTCCCACAATAAAGCTGCAAATGCAGCGCGTTTCTTACATTGGACCTGGAGGCTGACCGTGCCCACGCCGGGCTTGCCGAGGCCGTTTTCAGCGACACACTCGTACACTCCTGCCATCTGTCGGGTGACCTCGGCAACTGTGTACCGGCTGCCCTTGTGCTGTGCTTCTCCTGACGGTAGCAGGCCGGCCTAGATCCGACGTCAAGGGAGAAAACAAAAAGCCACGTTAGCGAACGTAGAATGCCGGTGGGAGAACGTACCTCGCAAGTTCTTGGGGAGAAGTGGCAGTTAAATATGCATGAGGGCATCTAATAAAGTTTTCTAGAGCGTTTGCCGCGTGATGCGAACAACAGAGCTCAGAGGTCGTGCAGGAAAATTAAAGCTTCCATCCCAGTCCTACGAGGCCTAGAAATGGAATCCATTGCCCGGGTTATGCATGCGGTGCTTACTGTTGTGTCTATAAAGCCGCTGCAAAGACTCAGGCAAAAAATGAAGCAGCAGCAAGTGATATGGATTAACACACGGGTACACGCTTCCTGAATAACTGAGCACATGCATGTTGTCACCTAAAGATTTAAGCTGATAAATGGCACTATGCTGGTCATCGATAGTTGCAGGTAATCGAATGCAGACATAGCAAATCCCTAAATAAACATATTGAGGAGAGCAGCCGTGAAATTAATGAAATAATACAAAGGATGGGCACCGTATAAGCGTTACCTTAATGACAATGTTCCACGCTTAAAGATATTGAAGCAGGCACCATATATGATGAAATAAGCTGACTTATAACCATTGGTATACTTTCAAGTGGAACAGATTGCTCAAGACAACACAATTTCTGCATTTAATAGACATGCTCCTCAATACGTTATTGTTTGATTGCGTCACCGTACCATACACGACATTGATTGAGACCCAATCAAATTTTATCATCTCTTGAAAGTATGCTCACGAATACCAGATATCCACAATTCGACATAACTTTTTCACCTCGATCGCCGCCTGACCAATGAAATGAAAGAATTTGAATGACGTTATTACGGCGTCAAGGATGCCTGGGTGGCCTTAAAATAGTCCGCACGAAAAAGTCAACACATTTTGGAGGTGTGGTGCTCAGAAATTTGGAGGATTTAGGTCTTAAGAAGGGAAGAGCTGTAAACCGTATCAAATGATCTTCAGGATGGCTATGTCAGTTCAAACCCCCATACAAATGTAGAGCATTTCCTTTAAGTATTCTGGCCTTGGCATTGGCCCCCGATTGCTGAGAAAGGATACAGCTGAGGAAAATGTTCAGACTGGGCCGATTGCATTACAGCGCCTGGCATCACCAAGCTGGCAGCTTTCTCATGATGTTCGTAAAGCAAAACGTATGCAATACGAAATCCTGAACAATGTCAGCTTAATGCTGCTATAATCAATTGTCAAATTTAATTCTCGATCTCTCCTAGTTGCTGGGCACCATTGCGGCCTACTTTCAGCAGATCTCGAAGAGGATCGATGGGCGGTTCACAGCACGAATTATTCCGAGAAGGAAGCTTCCTGCCCTGCCTGCTCCAGCACACGAGGTGATGCAATTGGCCGGCTACCCACTCCAGGACACGAGGAGATGCAAGCAACTGGCTACCTACTCCAGCACACGAGGAGTTGCAGACGCCCGGCTACTTTTTCCGGCACACGATGGGATGCAGGCTGCCGGCTGCCTACCCCAGCATACGAGAGGACACAAGCGGCCGTCTGCCTACTCCAGCACACGAGGCGTTGCAAGCAGGGACCGACTGACCTGTTTTCGCCAGAACATAGAGGGCTCTGGATTGCCGACCGCTGAGCACTCAAAGTGCGCCTCCTTGCCTCGCTCCAGCACCAGCACCCCGCTGGAGGGCCCTGTTGTCACCACCGGCCCGTCTGGAAACGGAGCAGGAAGCGTTATGAGGGCCCCAGGCCGTCCTCTTCTCCGGCCCCCATCGCGCGTCAAGACCAGGGTGACGTCTTCGGCGGTGGAGGGGGGGGGGGGGGGTATGACGTCCTCGGCGGTGGAGCGGGGTGACGTCCTCGGCGCTGGAGCGGGGTAACGTCTTCGACGGTGGAGCGGGGTGACGTCTTCGGCGGTGGAGGGGGGGGGGGGGGGATGGCGTCCTCAGCTGTGGAGCGGGGTGACGTCCTCGGCGGTGAAGCGGGGTGACATCCTCGGCGATGGAGCGGGTGACATCCTCGGCGGTGGAGCGGGGTGACATCCTCGGCGATGGAGCGGGTGACATCCCCGGCGGTGGAGCGGGGTGACATCCTCGGCGGTGGAGCGGGGTGACGTCCTCGGCGGTGGAGCGGGGTGACGTCCTCGGCGATGGAGCGCGGTGGCGTCCTCGGCGGTGGAGCGAGGTGACATCCTCGGCGGTGGAGCGGGGCGACGTCCTCGGTGGCGGAGCGAAGTGACGTCCTCGGCGGTGGAGCGGATACTGACGGAGCATTGACGAAACTTTCTATTCACAACACGGCCAACACATGTCAGTGAGACCCGTGCCATCATTGATAGACAGTAGTTAAACACAAGATGCAGGGTGATGCGACGATGTAGTGAATCAGCGAACACAAAAAAATAACTCATCTCCAAACCAATCGGCACAAGAAGGCCGGCCTTGGGCTGGTACTCACAGAGCACCACCAGCTGGTGTGTGAGCTCGGTCAGCGGCTCGGTGTCGATGGAGCACGTGTAGGACGACTGGTCGCTGGGCCGGACGCCGGCTATCCTCAGGTTGTAGCCCTCCACCAGGCTGTAGCGCGTGTCTCGCGCCACAATCGCCTCGCGCGCGCTGATCACCCGCCGGTCCTTCTTCCACACCACTATGTATGGACCTGTCACGAAGATGGAAACGTATTCCCTTTCTTTTCTTTCAATGACAATTCAGTTATGTGCGGTGGAAATGTTGTTGGGAGTGCGAATGTCCCTGCGAAATCGTCCCTGTCCCTGTCCCTGCGTGTTTCAGAACGGGCAACAACGGGACTGTTTGACATGCTTTCATTACGACAGCAAAACACCTCATCCTTTGTCGCGCATAATTGCCGCACATCTGGCACCTGGAGCCAGGATACATTCAACCATGTTTCTAGAAATCTTCGTACGAATTGGTGTAAGGCTGTATGCATATTCTTAGCTCACTAGCTTAGCTCAGCCTTAGTTTACCTTCCTCTCCCTGACCAGGGCGAAGAGCACGTCAGGCATAACTGAATCCACGTAAGAATTTTCATGACACCTCGAGGACCCCGAAAGGTCTCGCCAATCCTGCGAACATGGAGGTGCTCTATCTCCCTCTATAGAACTCCCTTCGGTATAGCCAAGCGGACTACGTCCATTAAATAAACGAGGCACTGTGAATTTCGAGCAGGCGCGGAAATTGACGGAGAGGCTCGGGAATCGACGGAGGGGGCAACTGATCACCACAAATGGTTCATATACTTTTGATTGATGCTGCTGAAAAACAGGCGTTGATATCATCCAATTCGTAACAGTTGAGAATGAGGTAAATTTGCCTCACAAGATGATGCGTGATTTTCTGGCTGTTGAGCATTCTGCTATGTCCAGCGACACCGTCCGCGTGTGACATCGTGCAGACAAGCTCTCTAGTTAATCCGGTATTTACTGGCGTGTTTTTCATTTGACATTCATTGACGAGGGGGGGGGGGAGGGGCTGCCCCAAACGCCCCTGAAGATATGCGAAAGCAATGAACCGATCGAGACAGTTCAAGCAGGGGAAGGCACTTCTGGTTTGTGTGAACCCAAGCACATGACAAGCTGTAAACCTGCAGACCAGTAATGACGTCATACGTCAGGCCAGCGGTCATGGCGTTTCTTTGATTTGACCTAATCGCGTATGCATTCTAGAAAATTGTATTAATATCGTCGAAAATGTTGAAATATAGACACCAGGCCCAGCTGAGGCCCGACCATGTCAAACGAGCTGGACCGCATACTGCACACTGGCTTTCGCTTTATTCAATCGCTCTGGCCCGCAGCATGACAGTTGTGAAGGGTCTTCTACGCATAAAGATCGCCTCAAAGACGTGTCTTGGGCACGTGCTCAGGTTGTGCAAGGTAAAGTTTCAAAAATAACTTCGGCTGAGCGCGGACGAGGCCTCTCTGATGGCATCATTATCGCGCTTGGGCCATGAGCCGCCTCCGTGATGTTGTGTCTCGTGCAAAACCGTTAATTGAACCGGCCGCTAAGAAGCATTTGTCACATGGTGGCGGGCTATAGTTAAGATGATGTCCCGAATCATGCTCCATAAGCATGAAACGCTTTTAGTGCTTGTGTGATGCTATTTAGGCGAAGTTGGAATGACCTAAGGATCGACCTGATCTGCTCTGATCATACTGAGACGTATCAGTGAAATTGAATCCCAGCATAGGCTGCACATTTTTTACAATTCCGTCCGCACCTGATTATACGTGCCAGAGCTCATACTCCTGCTACGGCAAAATATGTACGCATGAACATTAACTGTGCCCAACAAGCTCGACTTCTGTATTGTTGGTCACATTTATAACGTCATTTCGGCCACTCCAATTTGACACAGATTTCAATCTCTAGCTCAAATACGATTTTAATGATTTCAGACCTCTGACCCATTTGTTTCGGAGCTCAAAAGCAATGACGGGGCGACAAACGCCCTTCCCCGTCAATTCCGAGTTAAGTGGTCCATCCTTCTCGCATTCCCTGCCGGCCGCTGCATGCTGCACCGCCATACAGCTGGCGCCGGTGAGCAAGTGCGCTCGCCTAATGGGAGAGCTTCCAGGTGGTAAGTGTACTTGTTCCCCTGTTGTTCGTGATCTTAGGCGACCACAAACCTAGTAGCCTATTGTCCAGGGACGCAGCTGCCAGATCGCCTTGAGGGGAGGACGGAGCTAAGCGAGAGCCGATTTTTAGCGTTTTGTCAGCAGCCAGCTATAAAATAACAAAAACACGGATCTTAGAGAGTCCCTCTTGCTGCGTCTGTGTTATTCCCTGAAGACAGCACCTTGTGCCTGGTGTGAATGACATTAACGAAGTGGGGAACTACTGTCGTAACCTCTGCTTGACCTTTAGGTGATGCAACCATAGTCCTACACTAGGTCACGATGTGCTCTGGAGCATGATACTGGCCACGCTGCGTTCAAAAATCATTCCCGCATCCAACATCAGCCCACTGGTAGGAAAGGCCCCTTAAACGATCGAAGTCAGCAAAGTGTGACGTGTACCGTCGTAAACGGAACAAACCGTTCAGAAACGTCTCTACTTGGCGTGTTAAGTGACTATTAAATCCGTCCTCTCGCCTGAGCGAGTGGCCCTAACGGGGTTATAAAGTTTCAGATATTTTACGACGTCAACCAATCGGTCAGTTTAGTGTTTGCAACTCTATATTTTGGGAATGGGCAACGCAAATGCGGTAAGAGGGGAGTGTACGATTTTGCATGCAGAAAGTAAGCACTAAAGCTACTTGTCATCATCATAATATGAAAATGGTGTATTCATGACAATTACGAGTAGAGTGTGATAACCAAATGGTTTGGTTTGGATCGTCCAGTCGTATTCTTTTTCGCAAATGTAAGTGGATAGCATGTAAAGATCATCTATGCTCAGCTCCTCAGGCATTTGGCAAAACAAAACATGTAATCGATGAACTATGATATGGTGTCAGGAAAAATGTGCCTCCGCTTACGCCAGTACTTATGCTGCACGAACACGTGTCGCCTTTACATAGGGTAATATGACGCGCGAAATTTATGTGGATCGAAAAGGGCTTCAATACTGCGGCACCAATAGTTCTGCTTACGGATGGTAACATATGGCGCAGAATGTTATGCACATGTGAGATTGTTTCACACATAACAGGAAATGACGTGGCCGAGCGTGCCGGTTAGCTCCACAGTTCAAGGCAACCACTGTCGGTGATCCACCGGCTCCTTGAGCCGTTATTGCTCATTACGCGCTTCAACTATATGCGGAACGTTAGCAATTAACTCCCTTGCACCTCTATGGTGATCACATTGCCATCTGCCCAGTGGCATAGCCAGGACTTCGCCCGGGGGGGGGGGGGCAAATCGGGTCATAGGGGTCCTTGCGGTCAAGGGGCCTCTCTTTGTCGCGATACGGACAACGTTCTCCTCGAGAGAGGGCGTGAACCCAAAATCCCCCCTTCACTACACCAAAGCATGTGTCTTGATTCAAGGAAGGGGATAGAACTCCAGGCAAATTTGACGTGTCGCTTAAGATGTCTGAGTTGTTTACGTTCGACAAGCTTTTGTAAATACGGAGAAACTGCTTTTTAACTCTACACAAAACCCAAAAGGAATATACAATTTCCACTTCAAATTAATTATGCAGCCACGCAGCACAGTAAAATATCTTGGAATGCATATTGGCCTGAACATGAAGTATGCATCAAGTATTTGTGTTTCGTATAGGTGTATGGAATGTAGCCCATACTGTTTCGCTAAAAAGTGAATGATGCTGTAAAAGCATCTCATTCTGCCGTAATTAAATGACAATTTTTCTGCCGGTTAACGCATTCCCCACTTTTCATTTCTCGACAGCTCTACCGTCGGCTGTTGCTATGCCACGCCACCGAGACGGATAGAGGACTTCTGCGGTCCAGAGAAGAGCCAGGTGTATGAGGAGGTTGGGTGGCTCAGAATAATCAACACCTGCGCCGCTGCATCCAACAGACTGCCGGAGGGATTGCCGAGGACGTTGCGCAAAAGATGACGCGGGCGGTGTTGTGACGCTTGCGCTGGCCGCGCGGAGCGGGGGGGAGGGGGGGGGGCTGAGTCTCAGGCTGGCGGTCATGGATATGGCCTGGAGTGCATTTGCCTGCGTGCAGAAGTTTGCAGAATGGTAGGCTTCAAGACAACATAATCATCACTCGTTGGTTTTTCTCCAACTCATAGTTATCACCCGGTGCACGTGTAACGAGTGACGGCACGTGTTGGACTGGTGCGTCCCCTCCTACGTGCGCGCGCCCCTGTCTGACGTGGGAGCCACGTGGCCTGACGCGCAGCAGCCTAGTATTGTGACGTGATCGAAGCCCAGTTCGACCATCCCGGCTGAACATGGACTCTTTTCCATGTTGCTGTGGTCACGACCGGGCTGGGCTTAGTGAACACGTGTAAATGCACCAGTAGTGACGTGATCAGAGCATGCTGGCGAACACTGTGGGAAAGACAGAGGCATCGCAGGATACATTGGTTTCATGCAGATGGAAGTAAAACTCTGTATACACGAGTATATAAAAATTATGCATGTCACGTGGGCTACATTTCATCCAGATGAAAATTTAGACGATTTTGTTCCCATTGTTCACCGCGCGATATCTGTACTGAAGGGAAGCAAAGGTAGGCCGCTCTGACGGCGATATGGGCCTTGAGAATTTCAGGGTTGGATACCGGTCCTGCGACGCTGGAGCGAGCAGCTAATAAACTTATCAACGCACGTTCATTACCAGCGTTTGCTGGCGAAGGTAGCAGCTTCTTGTCAACGCGCACGGCATGATCCCGAAGCCATCGCGAAAGATCTGTCTGACTTGAAGCACATGGGCGGGGATGCAGGGATTTGAATGTTGGAGTTTGTCTCAACCAGACTTGAGCGGAAACTTGGGAAGTGGATTGTGCAGTTATCCCTGCCAAAGGGCACTGCTCTGTAAGTCGTAATTGACGTCGGTGATATCCGTCTGGTTTGCGCTGGCATTTGGTGCTGCGTCAAGAGTCTGGACTATTGACTCGTAGCTAGAAAGTAGCCCACCTAGTCAGACAGTTCATAAACCCAAAGGGGTAACGATGATGATCAATAGGGCTGTTGCCCTCAGCTGCACACGGAAGCTGC